TCACAGGGCAAGTAGATATGACCAACTCCCGATAAAGTCAGGAATTTGACCGGTGAGTTCATTGTCTGAGGCCCACCTGAAATTCCCAAAAATTTATTTTAGCGTACTTGATCAGAGATGACAATATAATAAATTTATCTATCACTAAAGAAGAACAAAGGAGCAGAGAGAATATGTTCTTACACTCTCTCCAATCTCGTTAGACTAGAAAATGCTGGGGGTATTGGCCCACTAACTCCAGCGCTATCAAAGTAACTGCCAAGAAAATAACAGGTTTTGAATGAAAAACTGGGAAGGAACCTTTTTCTTTTTTCTCGCATAAAAATATTTTTGTCTCTTCTCATGATACGACTAATAAGATTGAGAAAATTTTTAGATGGTTACAAGTACTACGGAGTAGAATGAAATTGCCAAAAAAACTTCAGAATACAAATGAGCTCACCAACATGTATAAGAAGATAACTAGAATGCAAAAGGCAAATCAGGTACAGGTCACGGTTGTCAAAAAGATGTTGTGTGTCAAGGAACAGAGAAAAAGGGAAAAGACCTAAAAGAAAAATGCTCTTCGCATTGGTCCATGTCTAAGTTTAGAGAAGATGTGTGTCTATACAGATGTCAAAGCAGTAAAGCAACATAGAATCCTAAATGATAAAGCGCAACAACTCCCGTTGTCATATAGGAACAAGACAATAAGTGTGAAGTGACATCAAAACTTACATTTGAGTTAGTTTTGTTAAATTCCCAAGCTCAGATGGTAGAGAACCAGAGAAATTATTTGTGCTGAAACTCCTACGCAAGTGGAAATCACAAATAAACAAGTACGTAAGTAAATTTATATGTACATGCAAGAATGCTAACTAATTGGGGTTTAAACCTCATGAATAAAACATATAAGTTCTTACAGCGATTTTAAGTCTTTCAGCATCCCAAGTTCCCTAGGAAGCTCCCCTGATAATGCATTAATTCCAAAACTCCTAAAGAAAATAATTAAAACTTAGCAATATTTTTAATAACACTCAAACACTGTTGATAAAGTCCTAAATCACAAAAATATATCTTACAAGTACTGCATGCGAGTGAGGTTTCCAATAGATGCAGGTAGTGGACCCGTCAAATAGTTTTGGCCTAGATTTCTGCAATAGAAGTAGGGAAAACACCTGTGTCATCAGCATCTAAGAAATAACAATGTGGACAGACAAATGAAAAAGTGGGTGCCAAGAAACTAATTAACTATTACATATACTTGAGCAAATCAACTAATAGGAAAAAATAACCGTACATATTAGTAAGGTAAGTCAAATTCCAGAGCTCATTCGGGATTGGACCCACAACATCAAATGCATAAACTCTCCTGAAAAATTACGACGTTCGGAGCCAAAAATCAACATAAAATGATATTTCAAAGACAAATTTGGAATTGTTTAAAGTAAGTAATCAAAGTGAAACGATACAATTGGGTGAGTGTGTTTTCAACCCTACAACGAAAGAAAGGTAGAGGGGAACTCACAGAGCAGTAATGCGGCAAACGGTATTATTGTTGAAAGAGCAACCACATTTAATACCCGGATTGATAACGTCAATTGTTGTATCATCAATTGCAACTCCGCTGCATAATTCGCCGCTAATGTTCCATCTTTGATTTGTTCCAGAAATTTCCCAACGCTGAAATATAGAGTTCAAAGCTCTTGCTGCAAAATTCGAAAGCATGTTACGATTACCATTGTACTTTACATGACTCAAATTGAGATGAAACCAACTTCGAGTTAAGTATAATAAAGAAAAAAATTGTAAAATGAAAATAAAAATAATAATAGTTATAATAAATTGCAAAGTTGATTAATCATGATTACAAAAGAAACTGTTAATTAGCATCACTAAAATTTGTTTGAGTGTCACTATTTGTTATTTTGACTAAGACCTTGTTTGGTGTATGTTAAGTCAACATTAACAATTAATTTTAACAATATATTTTATAGGATGATTAAATTCACTAGTGGCCACTCAGTTTTATACTTGATGTCACCATGACCAACTAATTTGATTTTGTTTCACCATCACCACTCAACTTTATGCTTAGCCACTTTTTGACACTCATTTTCTTCTCATTTTCACTTTTTTCTCTTTCTTCATTTCAACAATACATTTTATCAATAAAATAATACTATACATAAACCCAAAAATTCTCATTACTTTTTAACCGCACATTCTTCCATCAATCACTATTCTAGATTTTTTTTTTTTTTTTTCCAAAATGGGTGTCAAACATGGCTTTAGTGTTACCATGGCCACCAATTTGATTTTATTTCACCAAGGACATCCAATTTCATATAACGTTTCACTATGTCCATCCAATTTCATATAATATTTCACCATGGTCACTCAGCTTCTTTTTACCATTTTCATTAATTTAAAAATGGGTAAAATTGTAACTTTGCATTATATATATAAAAAATTAAAATAAAAACTTATTTAAAAAAATAAAATAAAATAAAAACTTATTTAAAAAAAGTTACTTAAAACAATAAAATAAAATAAAAACTAATTTTTTTTTTAAAAAAAAAGTTATTTAGAAAAATAAAATAAAATAAAATAAAAACTTATTTTAAAATAAACGTTTTAATTTTTTTTTTTTAAATATTTTCATTTTTTTTAAAATTATTTTTTATATATAATTCAAAGTTATCGTTTTACCTCTTTTAAAATTAATGAAAATGGTAAAAAGAAATTGAGTGACTATGGTGACATGTTATATGATATTGGGTGACCATAGTGAAATATTATATGAAATCGAATGACTTTGATGGATTAAAATCAAATTGGGTAGTCATGGTGACATTAAATATAAAGTTGAGTGGTCATGCTGAAACAAAATCAAATTGGGTGACCACGGTGACACCAAGTATAAAGTTCGGTGGCCACCAATGAATAATCCCTTTATAGGATCATAACTTTCAACCCCATATTTTATCAAATTTTATCAAAACTTGTTAAAAATTTAATCGATTATACTACATGTACATCACAATTTACATATTTGTTTACAACACATGATGTGATGAGATCTAATAAGGTTAAAATTTCATCAATCAAATAAAAAAAGAATAATATTATCCAGCACCAATTGTGTAGTCCAGATGACTATATTTTATGGATTTCAATTAAATGAGCCGTCAATCGTGTGACTTTACAATTATATGAATATATTATTTAAAATATTATTTAATTGACACTTAAACTAAGGCTCAATACAACTAGTGATTAATAGTTTACTCATAAATAAGGATCAAAGAGCATGCCATCTCATTATCTATCAACAAATGTGTAAATAATTTTTGTATAAGCAGCGTAATTATAAAAGAAATTCTACCACTATCTTTTTGACATCTCATCCAAATGCAAAAATCGTGTCAATAATGATGTAGCATTTCCTTAAAATAATGGGAAGTGTCAAACGTTGTAGGGCCAGTAATGAATAAGGAGATAACAGAAAATTAGGGGATTCAACGTGCAAGAGTCAAATTTTTTCAACCTATATTATTTGGCTCCTGTTTAATACAATAAAATATTCATACGTAAATTCAAAAAAAGATTTCTTATTTTTTAACCATACATTCTTCTAAAATACTATTCAAAACTCATTTTAAAAAAAAAAAAAGAACAAGCACCAAACAAGAACTTGAATTCATCGTAGTGATCTTTGAAATTGGAATCTTTGACCATTGTAACAAATATTGTTTATGATGAGTAAAAATTGTTAAAAAAGAATGAAACAATAGTTCAATCACATGAAAAACATTCACTACAAGGATTTTTATTGTGCTTATAAGAGGGGTTTTTTTTCCCTAGACGAAAGAGCGTGTTTGAGTCCTATTTTTATCGAGAATATATTTTATAACAGTGATTTTCTAAAAAACGTGGAATTAAAAAATATGAAAATTTTTGAATTTAAGTATAAAATTATTATATTGGAAGAATGTATAATTGAAAATAAATTTATAGAAAAATGAATTTTTAAAAAATCGAAATTAAACGAGGATATATAATTAAAGGTGGCTTTTAAGTTATACGTAGCCCTTTGTTTTATTTTAAAGCAAAACTTTCTAGTTTTTATACCAATTTTCGATCGCACGTTCGAATAATAAAATATTTTGCAAGTAAATCTATAATTTTTCTTAAGTGCATATTTTCCAAAAAAAAAAATCACTATTCAAAATATATTTTTGTTCAAAATAATGACTATCAAAATATTTTTTCTCTGCTTTTTAATTTCTTGAACAGTAAAAAAAATGAAAAAAATATCCATTTGGATTAAACTGTGTACAACACAATAAAAGCATCAAGATTTTATGAAGAAACTAAGAAGAACAAGAAACATTAAAAAGAACCAAGTTCTCAAGCATTTAAATAAAAAAATCCGGAAAATTTGCAATACGACTGTGTAAAATTAGTAAATTACACACACATATAGATAGAGAGAGAGAGAGGGGGGCGAACCTTCAGAAGGATCAACGGTGGCATTTCTTGTAGTTTGAGCTCCAGCAATCTCCAGCAGGAATAAGATAATTAAAACAAAGTAGAAGCCTTCCTTTAGAGGCAGCGGGGCGTGAGAACCCAGCTGTTGGCGCGGCTTCTTCATCGCACACCAGTTTCTTCTTCCTATATATGAGTTCTTTTGGACAACACAACCAAATATCAAAATTTAGAGAGAGAGAGAGAGAGCACTGATTTGTCAAGTTGAGTTGAGAATGTTATCCCATAGGCTAATGAAAAGGCTGCAATTAAAGGCCAAAAATACAGATTTTCTACGGAATTTTAAATTACACTCACATGGAGTGACAGGATCTACATGAATTAAATATTGCTAAAAAAATCGGGGTCCACCTATTGTGTGTACTCTGTCCATTTTCTGTGAATAATTTCTTGTACCCATAGCATTGTTCTAGGCTAATAAATAATGCAGATATTTCTGACCTACGAAAAAGTCTGTTTGGGCCATCTAAATCAAAGTCAATCAATCAATATTAATCACATCTTTCATGGGTCCCACATTTTTTCAACCACACATTTCAAGAACTTCTATCACAATTCGCTAAAAATCTAATTTTAATCCCCACTAAACACCCTTACAATATTATCCATAGCGTGCTCACGCGCCACTATTTCCGCGGTGAATACAAGGGTGCTGCATCCTTGCGACTCCATCACCTACATTCATATGTAAGAGCGCCTACCACCTTCAATGGGACACTCCTTAGAGGCTCGTGTTTGACAATGTTTCAAAAAGAATTATATATATTTAACTTCTAAAACTAATCACATATTTGGTGAGAATTAAAATTTTAAATCAACAATTAATTTTAACTACAGATTCATAAGATTTACAATTTTTCAACTATATATTTAGAGTTTGTTTGGTGCACATTAAAATGAGAGAATGCATTTTTTTGAAGTGATGTGATGAGGAATATGTGATTGAAAATGAAAGAAAAGTTATTGATGTGATGAAAAATATTATTTTATTGAAAAATGTGTACTTGAAAATGAGTATAACAATGAGAATGAAAAAAATATTGTGGGTCAAATAGGGGCTTATAAGTTTTTATTAAAATTCTACTCCAAATTTAATTTTAATATCCACTAAATAGGAGCTGAAACTTAATTTTTGCAAAGTTTAAGTTACTTTAAAATATTTTTACTTTTTTCTAGGCATAGTTCTAAAACATGCACAAATCATCTTATTTTGCCTTTGTTTGATCCCAATTTTTTTCAAAACACATTTCTCTCTCTCTTTTTTCCAACCACACATTCACACAATAAAATAATATTACACTCAAATTCAAAATTTTTTCTTATTTTTTAACCACACATTCTCTACCAATCTACTATTTCAAAATGCATTTTATACAAAAAATGAGGCTCATGCTGTCGGGAGTTTTCCATTAAAAGAGATTTTAAAAAATGTATTTTGGAATAGTGATTTTTTAGAGTATGTGTGGTTTAAGAAAAAATGAGTTTACATGCAAAATATATTATTGTGTGAATGTATGGTTGAAATAGAATTTGAAAAAAAAAAATTTTTGATTTAATGAAAGACAAACAAGAGCTAACTTAGAAAGCTATGCAAGAAGTGTAGAAAAATTAGTTATAGATACCTTTTGAGAACATCAATAAAAAGGCAGAAAGTAAGAAGATTTATCCAAATATCGAGACTCGTGACAACGTGATATCCTAAAGTAAAATTGTCCAATGTTGACTACGGCATCCTCTTTAAACAGTCACTCTCACGATATGACGATCAAATCGCTTGTTCAGCAATAAAAAGGGATTTCCAAAACTCTTTAAGTTTTACTCAAGAACGGTATCTTAAAAAAATAAAATAATCTAGATTTGAATTTGTAAAAATTACAGAAGATGAAATGACTTCTATATAATTTTCAAGAAATGGAGTGGTATATAGCCAAAAAAAAAAAAAAAAATCCAATAGCAATTTGAAATTAATAAAATAAAACTCTTGGTTTTATTATTAACTAAATTATCCAATAACTGCAACATTCAACATTTTTTTATTTTTTTTTATGCAAACCTCTCAAATAAATTATACACATTGCACCACTCGACCAACTATCTCAATTCTTAATTATTTCTTTCAAATAAAACGTGATATATAACTAACAGTTCTCAGAATGTATGCCTAAAGGCTGACACTCAAAAAGATGATAACTTAGTACAACACGTTTGTATCAAGAATAATGTTAAGTGCACATCTTTTGGTTTATATCTTCGTCTACACTCCATTGAATTTCAAAAAGTGTTGGATGTGAAAGTGTTTTTTTTAATGTACAATCATGTTCGCAATGTCAAAAATGATGTAAAAAAAAATGTATATGTAGTATGATTGTTGTGTCAAAATGAAGATTTCACAGTCTAACCTTAGAAAATGCTAAAAACCTCGACTACTCCTAGTAAAACCTCAAAACTTGATCCTGCGTCACATTTTTCGTGTTAGAATCAAGTATCATTAGTTGAATGTTTGATATTTATTTTTCTTTATTTAGGTATATATTATTAACATATGGATATGGTAATGTATTTTAATTTGCATTTATCATTTGAAAATTTAAGTAATGAAATCAGAACCAAACAAAACTAAGCAAGAACCGAATGATTCGATTCCGATTTGATTCCATATCTTAAAAAAAAAATAAAAAAGAAAAAAATTATTGATTTCATTATAAAAAAAAATCATTGGTTTGTTTCGATTATCTTGGAATCACAACCAAATGAAACTACGTCCACCCCTAAATATCACAATGCTAACATAATTGTTAGTAGACAAATTATAGCTGCAATTATCGTACTAATCTAACTGTTAAAATAAACTTATCATCCATGCCAACCTCCAATGTAGATCATACTCATTGATTTCCATACCGTGATATTAGTTTGCCGAGTTGACAATCAAAAATCAAGGTCAACTAAAGATTATTTTTTTCAACAAACGCGAATATTAAAGAAAATTATTCGTTGCTTCAATAAATAGAATAATCAAACTTTAGAAAAAATAAATAAAAGAAACTCTCTTATAAGTCAACCACGAACAACCATTGAGATAATAGTCAAACTTAATGCTTTTCCTTTAGTTTCCGATTTTTCTTTTGTTTTTTTGACTAATATTCGAATACATCTTTTAAAAATTAAAGAGACACTTTTTACGAATTTTTTTTTTTATTTTTTAGGCATTACCATTTGTTCTTTTACATTTTAAGACTTGTTTCAACAAAAAAAAAAAAAAATTGATTTATTACCTAAACCGTCTCTATAAAGTAATAAAAAAAGGGTTAAAAGATCCTGAATTTCATTTTTTTCCAACCCCTATACGTAACACCCAAATTGACATTTTATCAGGTAGTTGTAGGAAGGGCCAGGGCTGTGTGGGGGACTGGGTTTGGCCCCACGGGATGATGTAGAATTAAATATTCATTTCAGAAAACTTCTTAAATTTGAAAATTGTTTTTTTTTCTTAATGAAAAGCAAACCTCAGAAAATAGTTTTACAATTTTCAAAAAGAGAGCACGCACCTCCTTATAACTAATTATTGCTTCTAATGTCAAAAACGCGGAATATCAATATCGGAAGTTTAGTGTGAGGGGGTCCATCATGAATGAAACGTGTATGGGATTTTATTCATGATGTGAGGGGACTGTACATCATGTTGTACATATAGCATTTCTCACAAATAAATGTTATTAGCGACTATCCAATCACAAATTGACATTTTATCAAGTAGTTGTAGGAAGGGCCAGGGCTGTGTGGGGGACTGGGTTTGGCCCCACGGGATGATGTAGAATTAAATATTCATTTCAGAAAACTTCTTAAATTTGAAAATTGTTTTTTTTTCCTTAATGAAAAGCAAACCTCACAAAATAGTTTTACAATTTTCAAAAAGAGAGCATGCACCTCCTTATAACTAATTATTGCTTCTAATGTCAAAAACGCGGAATATCAATATCGGAAGTTTAGTGTGAGGGGGTCCATCATGAATGAAACGTGTATGGGATTTTATTCATGATGTGAGGGGACTGTACATCATGTTGTACATATAGCATTTCTCACAAATAAATGTTATTAGCGACTATCCAATCACAAATTGACATTTTATCAGGTAGTTGTAGGAAGGGCCAGGGCTGTGTGGGGGACTGGGTTTGGCCCCACGGGATGATGTAGAATTAAATATTCATTTCAGAAAACTTCTTAAATTTGAAAATTGTTTTTTTTTCTTAATGAAAAGCAAACCTCAGAAAATAGTTTTACAATTTTCAAAAAGAGAGCACGCACCTCCTTATAACTAATTATTACTTCTAATGTCAAAAACGCGGAATATCAATATCCGAAGTTTAGTGTGAGGGGGTCCATCATGAATGAAACGTGTATGGGATTTTATTCATGATGTGAGGGGACTCTACATCATGTTGTACATATAGCATTTCTCACAAATAAATGTTATTAGAGACTATCCAATCACAAATTGACATTTTATCAGGTAGTTGTAGGAAGGGCCAAGGCTATGTGGGGGACTGGGTTTGGCCCCACGGGATGATGTAGAATTAAATATTCATTTCAGAAAACTTCTTAAATTTGAAAATTGTTTTTTTTTCTTAATGAAAAGCAAATCTCAGAAAATAGTTTTACAATTTTCAAAAAGAGAGCACGCACCTCCTTATAACTAATTATTGCTTCTAATGTCAAAAACGCGGAATATCAATATCAGAAGTTTAGTGTGAGGGGGTCCATCATGAATGAAACGTGTATGGGATTTTATTCATGATGTGAGGGACTATTCAATCACAAATAAATGAAATGCTATTGGTGGATGTCCAATCTCAAATTTAATGATAATAATATGTGTACAAAGTCAGGCGATAAGAATATAAAATATTGTTACTTTGTTAAAGAGCATGTGACCTAATAGTTGACATAATATGTTTTGACAATATATGATTGGATGAAAATGTTGACTGTGTTTTAAGCGATTCAATGATAAATTGTTATGTGGTATTATATTAAGAATTATATCAACTATTATGTCTATGTAGCGTGATTATAATTGGACTGTATGTTTGATATTTCTAAATGACC